AGGCTTAGAAACATTTCTTGCATTTTGCAAACCCCGAAGTTAAAACCCCTTTTAATACAAAATTACTTAAAACATTACAAATTAAACATTTTTAGCATTATGTTATTAATAGAGGTTGAACACTGTTACTGGCAGCATACAATATAACATAATACTTCTGAACACAAACTAAGTGCTACAAGCGAACAGTAACAGAAGAGCAGATGTATTTTAATACCATAACACTGTTCTATCTGAAGATGCAACCATAACTCACCATCCTAGTCTCTACTGCTGCTCTCCCTCTAGGACAGATCACTACCTGCTTTGAGACACTGCCACGCTCTCTCCAGCAGCAAGGCTACTTTCAGACATTTCCAAACCCTGTTTCCCCTTCCCACCCAGGTAGCATGCCACCTCCTCAGCTGCAACCACACACAGAAAAAGGGTGAGGAGTTGTTTCATCCAGTTTACCAAGTAGTACCACAATCAACTGTGTTGGTACAACCAAGCCAGCGATAGCATGTGGTGGGAATGAATCACCGGGGGCAGAACACCATACGCTGCTATTGCTGCCAAAGTGTCACTGGACTACAGCACAGAGAGTAGGTTTTAAAAGCTTATTCCTGCGTTTGCTTCAAACCACTGAAGTACTAGAAGATGCTGTGCCAGAAACCTTAGTAGTGACCAACAATTCCAGAGCAAAAGTTTTTTTCCAAATGAACTACCTATGCAACAGACCACTATTCTGATCAGTCAATAACAAGTGACATCACAGAGATAGCAGAACTGTCAGTTGGATACATGCAATAGAAACTCAAATATAGCAAGAAAAGTCTCGTGGAGAACGAGATACACAAAGCCTTTTATATGCCCAGTTTCTAGTTTCTAAAATAAACAAATTGCAAAGACTTGGAAACAGATCTCTCTTTAAAACACAAACCACGAGCTCCCCCCAAGGGCTTACACCTCTATGCGTTTCTGTCCAGAGCTTTTCACAGAAAGACAGGGTATCCCAGAATTGCACCCCTACCTGCACACACCAGGCACCTGATATCTGGAGGGTCATCACACCAATATTGTAAGACAATACAGGCAGTTTCATATATTGGTAAACTACAAAGTCACATGTATCCCGTACCATCAGTACCTAAAATAGCTTGATTCAACCCATTTTAAAATTTCTAATGAAAGTGTATTACCCAAAGACTATTTTGCTGGGACTTTATTTAAGAGGTCATTGGAGTTTTCAATTCGGAGAACAGTAGTAAGGCAACAAAAAGCCTGGAACACAAATGCTCTTTCACAGCATTAATATCTTGAATTACCTGACTAAGGTTTTGATTTTAGAAGAGCAACATTTGCAATAGGAAATAACTCCATGCAAAAATGCCAAAGCATCAGGCTAAGTATGAACTACACAAATACAATTAAAGAGCTTGTAGGCTTTTAAGTACGCTTCTCTGCAGGGCTCCTTTAAAATAGGTTGTCTTAGCTGAAGGGAATCATGTGTGGCATATGCAATACAGAAAAACAAATACACACAAGGATACACATGAAACACAAAATTTAGAGAAATTAATTAAAAAAAAAAAAAGGCATAGAAAGAAGCTCCTACACTCCAGAAACGTGTATGTTCTGAGCAGGTGTAGTTTGGTTAAAGATTTACATATGGAAGATAAAGGGTTTTTTAATTTAAGCCACAACCAAGCAAACAGTATTACCTCCGCCAGGCCTTTTCTGTTAAATCCACATATTGCTTTGTTCAAAATGTATAAAGTCTCTATTTATTTTTTCTTGTAAACAATTTGCCTAGCAATAAAATTCTCATAAGATAGCAAGAAACTGGAGTTCAAATTTGCGTGGCAAATTCTTTTTATTTCTCAAGCACCCCTGAACTTGGCACTGCATGCTATTTGAATATAAATTCATGCTGAAAAGAAAACCATACTCCAAAAACAAAATTACCAACAAACATTACCAAGAGCAGGAAAATCAGTTTAGGGTTTGTTTGGGGTTTTTTGGGTGAGCTTCAAAAGAATTTTTGGGGAAAACTTCAGAGAAAAAATCTCCATGTACAACAGGTAACAAGAACTGAAAAAGAGAAAAATACAGATTAACACGTCAACACATCAAAAATAAGACTTAGAATTTAGAAACAAAACTGGGCACAAGCTTCAAAGCCAAGTTTAAAGGTTACTCCGCAAGAGAAAGGAGTGAACGGAAAGTCCAAAATAGTGAGAGGTAATTCGGGTTGCTTAGTTCTGCCAGAGAAAGCACTTTCATTGCAGTTAAGGTGGAAGATCATCAGAACATGAAAAGTTCTAGCAGTTACAGAAGAATGGGAATAATTTTCAAATTAAAAAAAAAAACAAAACAGAAACCCAACCACCCCACAAAGTGTTGTGCAAAAACACGTAGATGAGAGTTATTTCTATCTTGTCCATCAGTGCCTTTGAATCAGAAAACTGGCATTCCTGTTTGGGATAGTTTCCTTCTCAGAAGATGCTGCAAAGTCTGCCTTCGCTGCCTGCACACCTGGCACTTCCTTTGGAATGTGCAAGATTTCAACCGACGTGTCGAGACATTGTCTGGAGAGCTGCTCTCATTCTGACCTAATTACATATTTTCTGGTATCATTAACGTGGGCAGCTTGCTCTCCTGTAACCCAGCCGGACATTTGCTGGGGAAATTCACTATTTGGATTCCACTCCCCCTCCCCACAAAGCTATCATAAGTGAAATCACAGAATAACTTCATGTTGCATCAGAATTTTTTTGTGGGAGACAAAAAACTTCTAGATCTTCCCTTTAATACTTCTGCAGGAAAGTTTCCTGTCTGCTGAGAGAAGGGAGAAACCAGTGACAGAAAACAGAGAGGAAACATGAACCTGAATTCTTCTGGGGCTTTCTAGATTTATGCTTTTTATACTTCCTGCACTTAGAAAAATTCTTGGCAGAGGAACTACTTCTTAGCAGGATATGTCTCTGCCCTTGCTACGTTAACACCAGATGCCTCTTTGTTAGGTGGATTTTAGTTTTGGTATTGTTCTTTGATA